GGGGGCGCAGCTTGGCTTCAGCCTCGCTCTGTTCCATGGGCTTTGGGGCTGGTTTAGTTTATTTCGGGCACCGGGAGATGAGAAATGTCAGTGCGAACTTTGGTGAGCAGAGTGCGGTTTCTTTCCTCCTCACAGCCGCGTTCTGCCCATACCCGGGCAGGGTCTGACAGTCTGTGTGTGCCTAAAAACCCCATATGCCCGGGCAGGGTGTGATCGGTGTGTGTGTGTGCTAAAAACCCCATACCCGGGCAGGGTCTGAGGTCTGTGTGTGCCTAAAAACCCCATACCCGGGCAGGGTCTGACAGTCTGTGTGTGCCTAAAAACCCCATACCCGGGCAGGGTCTGACAGTCTGTGTGTGCCTAAAATCCCCATACCCGGGCAGGGTGTGATCGGTGTGTGTGTGTGCTAAAAACCCCATACCCGGGCATGTCTGAGTGGTGTGTGTGTGCCTAAAATCCCCATACCCGGATAGGGTGTGTGTGCCTAAAAACCCCATATCCCTGTGGAGTGTGAGCTTTTTGTGTTTGTCTAAAAACCCCATATCTGGGCAGGGTATGAGTGGAGTGTGTGTGCCTAAAAATCCCATACCCAGGTGGGGTGTGACAATGTGTGGACCCCTAAAAACCCCATATCCAGTCAGTGTGTGACAATGTGTGTGCCCCTAAAAACCCCATATCCAGGCAGGGTGTGAGCAGTTTGTGTACCCAAAAACCCCACAGTACAGCAGAACCTCTTTCAGGGGTGTCTGATTTTGGGTTTTGGCATCAGAGCCTGAAGGAGGGAGCTGTGGTATGTCAGGCCAAGCATGAGGGAAGAAGTCGTAGTTTGTACTAATCAAGGAAAATGCTTTGGGTGACCACATTTTCCAGCTGTTGTGTGTCTGGAATGTCTTTTGAGGCACATTTCTACAAAGCTTCTCCAAGCAAGCTTATAAAATACTGTGTGTAAATGTGATCTCGCCCACCTCCTTGATTTAATGTCAAATGATGTGTTTACTATGGTTTATCTAAACATCCTGGGTCTGGTTGTGCATGTCTGAAGTGAAGCTTTACACCAAGGCCTTACATAACAAAAAATTTTGTTTTCTAAAGTGCTGGCAAGCACATTGTACTTTTAATTCTGCTTCTACATATATCCTGCAAAGTAACTCTATATTGCTGATTTCAGAGGTGCTTCCAGCTAGGCATCTCTGGGAAAGGATGTAGCTGAATTCACCAAGCCAAGTAAGAAAGTTTGAGCCATTTTTGCTCAACCATGCAAAATTCTGAGCTGGTAACAACTCTCTTCTCTCTTAGGGCAATAAGAAATATTTCAAACGCAGTGAGTTAGCTAAAAAGGAAGAGGAGGCCTACTTCCAGAGATGTGGCTACAAGGTATGGAAATTGTTCTTCCAGGACTTGCTGTGTTTATTTTGAAGTCTGCATTTTATTTTTTTTTACCAACAATATCAATGTTGTTAATGATAATTGTTGTTCTTTGTTCAATCTGTTAATGTTATACATTAGCCTGTAAATGAGAAGCCACCTGGAGAGGTATGACTTTCCAAAACCATTTTCAATGCAGGAAAAGATATGCATGACGTACAGCTACTTAAGTTTGTGTTATGGTTTGCCTTTTGTTTCCTTTTTTGTTTGTTTGTTTTTATTTGTGGAAAGCATGAAGTGGCTCGGGATCAAAGCTTGTCTTCCTTTCTTATGAAATTGTGTTGTTAGGCATGAACACTGGATCTGATATAGCCACCTTCCTCCCCTTACTGAGAAAATGGAGACATTTGGATAATTTTATCCCATCTTCATTGTCAAAACGTCCAAAAGAAATCAGTATAGTGTGGGTGTGCATCAAAAAAGATTTGCCGACTCTCCTAAATTTGTATTTGGGTTTTGGCCATTAACCACCCAGCACTGAAGCTGTGCAACAACAGCATTTATGTTCTTGCTGGCCAAATATTAGAAACAATTGGTAACCTGGGGTGCATTTTGCAACAAATGGGTGATCTGGAAGGCTTTATCTGCCTTGTAATGGTGTCAGGGCAAGAGTTTCCTGAAATGGAAAGAATGTTGTTGTCTTTTCCAAGTGTGTGTGCCTGCCTGCCTGCCTGACGGGGTGTCTGGGAGGGGGATGCATTCCCTGGGGAAGAGAGTTTCATAATCTTGTTTGCTGTTAGAGGGCACAAATAGGAGCTTTGTTTTCCAGTGACCTTTACCCAGTTAGTGACTTATTCTGAAACCTTGGTCTGTTTGTGCACATTTGAACGTCAGTGCCAAAACGATTCTGGGAACGCGCAGCAGAAAGTCCTGGGAAAGCTCTGGGGATCCAGCAGCTCCTCCAAGGGCACATGGCTGCCTGCTGCCTCCTGGGCATTAGCTGGAATTCTTCAGAACCTGATGTGGTTCAAGTGGAGTTACCTGTGCTGCTGCACAGCAGTTTGGGTGTGAAATGCAACCCTGACAATGGTTTTAAAATAAGTTACTTTGTTAAATTTGGTATCTTCTTAGAGCCTCCCAGATTTCTGCATTGGTTCTTTACTCTGTTAATGAGACATGGAACACAGACTGGTTTCCTTTTAAATGCAGGTGCTTTTTTTACTTTGCTTAGACTTAATAAGTTGGAATAATTTCACTTGCTTGAAGAAAGCACTGAAACAAAATAACAGTGGTAAAGATACTGCTTATAACTTGTAGTCCAGCTGACAGAATGGATCAAATCTTTTTTTCCTGTGCTGCTATCTCTTTATGATTTCAAGAATGTTTGTAAGTTAAAATTTATATGTATCTTTCTGCTCTGGGACTAAATTTAAAAAAAATTTACACCTTCTTCCATATTTTCTGTCCCCTGTCAATTCCTCCTTCCCTGCATTGATGGAAGTTTTATTTTCCCCCTCCCTTTATGTGTTAAACATTGATTTAATTGTCTTTCCCTTGTTCATTCCAAACATCTGTACTTGTAGGATTGATTTTTTGATTTTTTTCTGTGTTTGCTAAACCAGCATTGAATGTAGATTTGTACATCTGAAATTGCTGAATCTTTTAGCTGAAGCCCCAGGGGTGGATCCATCCACACAGAGTCACACTGACACCTGAGCAAGGCTGGCACTGTGTCCTGAAAGAATAAAAAGCCTATTAAAAATAAAAAATAAATAATTTCTGTCCAGCACCTTCCTCAGATTGATCAACCCAAATACAGGCTGAAAGAATAAAAAGCCTATTAAAAATAAAAAGAAAATTTTTGTCCAGTAACTTCCTCATATTGAACCCTAATAGAGGCTGCCCATGCACAGGGAATGCTGCAGGCTGCTCTGGCATTCTTTGGATTATTTCCCTTTTAGCAAGTACAGAAAGGAAATAAATGAAGAATGAACAATATATGAGTGAGCACTGAAGAGGTTTCCTCATTATAGGAATATTACCACCAGCAGTCTGCTGCTGCTGTCAGAAATGTTGAATTTGAGCTTATACAGGGAGCTGTAGTTACATGGCTGCTGCCTCAAAGTTACTTTGATCAAAGAGTTGCTTTGCATTATTAAAATACTGAATAATGAAGAAGAGAGGCTCTCTTTGATTCAGGGACCTTCTTTTAGGCTAAGAGGAATCCTGTTCCTATGAGGAGCTGTGTCTTTTTTTAGGTTTTTTTTTGGTTTTTTTTTTTTACCTGTAAGAAGCAGGCAAGGTTGTTAGAGAGGTGCATTACCTAAAACAAGGTTGGAGAGGTGCATTGCCTCTCAAAACCCAACAGAAACTGGATCACTGCTAACTGTGCTGATCCTGTTGAAGCTGCAGGTAATAAACACTGTAACTGGCCCTGGGAGAGGCAGCTCCATTCTCACCCTGCTCTGGAGTTTTCCTTCCTGTCCTTCTGGGAGCTGCATGAGGAAGTGAAGCAGGCTGGGAACAGTCCCAGTATTTGTGTTTGTCAGAGTATTTTTTCTGTTTGAATAAATTCCCCCTTCTGGTTCATCACACATTGATGCAAATGGTCTTGCATGGGTAGGAAGGATGGGACAGGGGCAGGAATCAACAGGCAGAGGGTGGATTTGTTATTTTTGGCACCAGTGCTGGCATCTACCTGCTGAAGTGACAGCCAAACTTCAGCAATTGTCCTTTCTGTTTGCTGGACAGAGTGCTTCCTGCAACCTGCAGAAGTGTTATTCTTGATATTATCAAGAACTTTTATTGTTTTGTGAGATGCAATTATGGACTATAAACCCATAAAACTATGAAACTGAAGGTTTATTTAGTCATAATAAAGTCTGTGTTCCAGAGTTCTCTATCTTGCCATCATTTCCCATCAATATGTGGGTTTGTTTCCATTGCACAGGAGTAACTTTGTCTGTTGAATGTAGGTACAGCAGCAGGAAGAGGAGGAGAAACCTCTGGCTACATCAAATCCAGTGCTGGAACTCGAACTGGCAGAGGAAAAGTTACCAATGACTCTTTCCAGACAGGAGGTAAAATCAAAAACCATAAACTCACTTCTTGAGTTTACAGCAAATGCACCTGAAATTTCTTGTTAGGGCTGTTCCATCCAGTGAGCTGTACTTTTTATGGCAGTTTTATTTAAAAATAAGCTTCCATTTTTTGCAGTTAGCAGTCATTGATTATCTTTGCTTATCAGGGCTCTGGTGTCCAGTTGAATGCATAGGGAGGTGCAGATGGGTAGAGCCTCTTTGTTACAGGGATTTACACAGATATTTTATAACATTTTACAGCTCTTTCAGAGAGATCCTGAATATCAGCATTGCTCTTGGATAGTACTGAAGATGGCATGCTGATTTTTTCTGAGATTTATTTTTCCCTGAGCTTCTTTTCTTTGTAACTTGTTGGTCTGAGCACAAATTTAGAAATCATGTTTTGGAAGTTCACCTTAGTCTCTAGAAGAAACAGTGCTAAAGCCAGAGCAGCTGGGTTGTGCTTTGCCTTTTCTAAGGGTAAAAATGCCTGTGTGGATTTAAGTTCACAAACAGATCCACACCCCAGAGCAGAAGCAGGAAGTTCAGAAGTACAGAATACACTCTAATCTTGGAAATACTGAAATTCACAGCTGAGGTCATCCAAGCATGTCACACCTCCCCTTAATTTGTCAGGATATTCAGGTTTTGTAATGGGGATTGTTGGTTTTGTGTTTGGTTTGAGATTTGAATTGAGTTGAGGGAGGCTTTTTCCCTTCTGTTATATCTGCTTTTAAAGTAACTATCCCATTAGATTTTGGGACTTCATATTTCCCAAATGCTTAAAGATGGGGATTTTCAGTAGATCATCTCCTAGCTGTGCTGGGACAACCTGCAGCCCAGCTCTTCTTTTTATTGCCAAGACAAATAGGTGAGTGAGATTATTGTCAAGTTCCTTTGTGATTTTGAAAATGGTTTTTAAGCTCTGCTAGAGGAATTATTTTTGTGTATTTGTTTAAACAAGTCAGAGCAGGAAGAAGTTTGGCTGTATCAGCCAGCCTGGGATTTTATGCAAAATTTGGATCAGTAATATTTGGAATGACCTTTCACTGAAATACCGTGGGAATTTTATATTTAGATTGTAAAGTGTCTGGAACATTTTTTGACTGCTTAAAATATTGCCATTTCCTCTCCAGTCTGGCTCAGCTTGTTATTCTAAGCAAAGTAAATAAATCTGTCATTCTGGGTTTTATTTTGCTTCCTTTATGTGTCAGGGAGTGCTTTGATTCTTTTCAGGTTATCAGGAGGTTACGAGAGAGGGGTGAGCCCATCAGGCTCTTTGGAGAAACAGATTATGATGCATTTCAACGTCTGAGGAAGATAGAAATTCTTGCACCTGAAGTGAACAAGGTAAGCCTGGCTCTTAGTTACTTATTCATGGTATAAATAACCCTAGAAAAGTTACTGAAAATAATTTTCAGTAGCTGTTAATTTTCAAGAGGAGGGGGTAATAGACAGAAAAGAGAATATGGCCTCTTGTCTCTTTTAAAATTGTTTTTATTTGCTGAGAAACTATGTTAAACATCAGATTTTATGCATAATTCTAATTAAGTTACAGAGTTCAGCCCTATACAGTTGGTAAAGGGGCTTTCAGGTGGCACTCATACCCCAGTTTGTTCTGCCCCTGCTTTTTAATGAGCAGAGAAGTCATTTACTGTTAAAATAATCCTGTGTTTGTGATTATGTGCACCCTGAGTTGGCACAGGTAACTAAGAGCTGCATACTGTGTCTCTGGGATATAAATGATTTTTCAAATTCTTGAATTCCAGAGCTGTAACTTGTTGTGGAAGTGTCATTTTCCCCCCTTCAATTTAAAGTAGCCATCAACTCAAAAACTGACTTGAAGATCTAATTAATTTATTAGATTTGAAGATCTAATTAATTTCTTCATTTTGTTTTAAGGAATGATCAGTTAAGTGAGGAGGTACAATTGAGGTTTGTTTTGCATTCACTGTTAACCAAATTTACAGCCTTACTAACAGAGTGACAATTTGCATTTTCTTCCCTAATTGTGGCAAACTGAATTGTTTTAAATATCTTTCCTGGGGCTGCCCATAAAAGGGAAACCTTTTCCTCTCCAAGTCTTTATTTTAAAGATAAACAGATCTGGAAATAAAAGCTCTGCTTATGAAAACTTCCCTTCCAGGGACATTGATCACAGGAGCAGGATTAGGAAATAGAGAGCCCAGAAATGGGGTTGTGCTGGATTTTTGTTACATGTTTCATCCATTCCTGCTGCTGTCTAGGGGGATTCTGGATGTTGCTTAGTCAATCAGCCTTGTGGTTCAGACATTTTTAGAGTAACTAAATGATTAATAGAAATGCTCCAGACAGCTAAGTATGATGATGGAAGAGAGGAAGTAACTGTGCATATCCATTCCCTGTGGAGTAGCTGAATTTATCTGAGGGTAGGGAATGTCATACTCCTTTATAGAGCTGTATATTTTGTCTCAAGATGAGAAGGCAAATCCTTCAACTGTGGTTAAGGTGTGTTTTGTTCTATTTGAAAGAACCCTTTAACTTTATATATGGTTTTAAACTGATTCTGGATTTTTTATTCACCTCTTCTAAAGCTGAGGGTTTTAAACAGTGAATCTATAGAAAACATTCTGCTATGTTTAAATAATTTGTAATAAAAGGAAGCAATATTATTGTTTTATATCTGCCACTGAAGGAGTGAGACTTATTTACAGCTTTTTTCAGGGCAGATGTGAGGACTTGTAGAGCTGATGATGGTTATGGTCTGGTTTCCATTTGTTTTGGGGTGGTTCAATGCATTGCTTGGAGAAAATGCCTTGAAGAAAGTCTTAGAGGTTGATTCCATCCTCCAGGATTTTCTTTTGGTGAAAATACTGTAAAAATATTTTTCATAGGTATGAGCACTTGAGAAGTTCATGCACCTGCTTTTTGTTAAGTGCTGAAGTTGTTGGAGTTCAGTTAAATTCAAACAACACCAAACTCTTATGTGTGTTTTTACAAAATTTGCACTTTAAACAGAAGTTTGATCCTCACATTGACAGTACTGAATTGCTTTTATTTACTTGAGGGTTTTTTTATAAACCAATCTCTTTTGTTTTTTTCTTTTTTCCTGTTTCCTAGGGCTTGAGAAATGACCTGAAGGCTGCTTTGGATAAGATTGATCAGCAGTATCTGAATGAAATTGTGGGTGGCCAAGAAGCAGGAGATGATGACTCCCAGAATGACCTGAAGGTCCATGAGGAGAATACTACTATTGAAGAGCTAGAGGTATGGGATAGGTCATAACTAAGGGATGTTAGATGTGGTTTGTTGCTGTGAGGAAGCTTCAGGATTGTTTAGACAAAGCTGTATTCTTTTCAACAGCTGACTTGGGCATTTTGGAGTATTCTTAAGGAGAAAATTTACAAATGAAAACTCAAGTGGTCTTTTTTTACAACATTTCATCCCAAAGGGGACAGATGTTGCCTGCAAAGACAGTGATACAGTAAAGATTCATTCTCCAGGATTTCAGAAGTAGAAAATTTAATACCAGTACATTACCTGTTCAAAAAGGCCAAAGCCTTTCTAATAAATATTTTAGAGGGTAATAAGATCAGTACCAATTAATTTTCCCTATACAAGGAGGAAGGACTGAAAAATAGACACACAGAAAAAATATCTGATATAAAAACATCTAGGACCAAAAAAAAAAAAAAAAAAGGCATCAGAAGCAGACCACAGGAAATGTAAGTGCAGACACAATGTGTCCCAAAAACTTGAGTACAAATGGCTGCTCTGTTTTGAAAGAATCATGTGGTGTTTGTGTGAGTAAGTGCCAGGAAATGCATTCAGCACCTGGTATTTCAGGATTATGTTTTGAAAAGCACATTAACTTGAGCTGAAGACTTTTACCCTTAATCTTCAAAACTCTTTGCAGGAGTTAATCTTCATAACATCCTTCCAAAAGTGTGTTTAAGAAATAATATGATTTATAACTGAAAGCTGAAGTATATACATTATTATTAAAAAATAGTCTGGGTTTTTTGTTGTGGTGCCAGGGGTTCTGGTTTAAAAGAATTGCAGTACCAGAGTGGATAGCAGGAGTTGTATTGGATCTGAATTTTATTGATATATTAGCTCTTTTTTAATCAATTTTATTGATATGTTAGCTCTTAAAATTACCCCTTTTTGTGGTAGTAGGGCAGGCTTGGTTTGAGCCATGCAAACAATCTTTTTCTAAGAAGTTTGAAAACACTGCATCTTAATTTTGTGTTCACTTGCACTTCAGCTGCATGGCCTTGAGCATGAAGGCTTACATTGAATTTGATTCCAAATCTAGGAGATTTTTAAAAATAAAACTCACTTTGGAAACATGAGGGCAATGGAAATAGATTATAAATCCAACTATGCCCACTGGAAAATGTTTATAAAACGTACTGTTAGTATTTACAGTTTTGAGGTTTTGGTAGGATGGTGGAGAATTGGAGCATACAGCTGGGCTTTTTTAGTGGTTTGTTGCTAGATTTTGGTTTTTTTTTAAAAATTTTGTTCCCTCAAATTCACAGTTGCAATTAAATGATAAAAAGCCCCAGTACATCAGAGAATTGAAATAGCATAACAAAATAATTAGGTTAATTGATGGCTTTGGGGATCTCAAAAAATGCAGTGCACCCACAGTTCCCCTTAATACAGTGCAGTCAGACAGCTGCTAATTATGCCAATAATTTAGTAGTAATGACTGAAGAATTACTGTTGCATTGACTTTTCAGAAATAATCCTATTGCCCTTGTGATGTAAATGTTTTTAATAGATTAATGAATTTCAGTAGCATTTGTAGCTGTTCCATGACCAGTGTTTGGGATTTCTTGAGGAATTTATTGCACAAACTGCAATAAATTCCACAAGAAATCCCAAACACATGGTTCATGCAGTGAACCATGCTCTGCTGTGGTGGTGCTGCCAGACTAGACAAAGTAGAAATAATTGCCCTTTTTTCCCCCTTTTCCAGGCTTTGGGAGAATCCCTAGGACGGGGTGATGATCACTATGATATGGACATCATAACCAAGTTCTTGAAGGTAACTAATTCAAATTATTCTGTAGTTCTGTCATATTATTAATGCCATGCAGAATACATTTAAAGAGTAGAAGGATGGGTTTCAGCTGCTTGAGAGGAAAATCTCTCCTGTTATGTGTAAGATGTGGGTTTTTTGAAATGCTTGACACTCCACAGCTTTTGTTAGTCACAGCAGTGATTTGTGCCAAATCTGGGAAAAAGCTCTTGGGAGAGAAGCATTCTTCAAAATCTGCTCCTGCTTTTCCAGACAAAATAAATAAGGTTTTGATTTTCATGTGATATTTGAGGCAGTTGTCTGCAGCTGCCTCTGTGTGGTACTGTGGCATCAAAACCTGTGGGGGAGTTTCCTTGGAACAGTGCAAGCTGAATTGGAATGTCACCTAATACTGGCAGTGAAATTGGAGAGTTTTAAAGGAAGTCCACAGGTTCAAGTGGATGGCAGGAAATTGTTTCCTGGCAAGAAAGCTGTGTTGCCTCTCAGCTGAGTCAGCCAGTGCCTGTGTAGCTGTTGTGGTAATCAAAGTCACAGCAAGAGCTGAAGCTTTAATTAGTGTGTGTACATTTAAGATAACAGAGTTGTTCCTATCCCTCTGAAAAAGGTTTAACCTTCCTAACTCAGATTTCTCCAAAAAAACCTCACCTTGCCTTGCTGGCTTAGCCCTGTGTTCTGTCAGTAGATGGCACCATGACACAGCTGTGCTTGCTCCCTGCAGTTCCTCCTGGGAGTGTGGGCCAAGGAGCTGAATGCCAGGGAGGATTACGTGAAGCGGGGCGTGCAGGGGAAGCTGAACAGCGCCACCCAGAAACAGACCGAGTCCTACCTGCGGCCGCTCTTCAGGAAGCTCCGCAAAAGGGTGAATCACCTTCAAATGCCTCTGCTTTGCTTCCCAAGTCCCCAGCATCAGGGCCCTTCCAGGAGAGGGGATAAGTGAATTGCTGACAGTTTCTGTATCTACAGCTCCTGACACCCAGTTCTGGTTTTATCTCAGTGAAATCTGCCCACTCCCTGCTTTTCCAGCTGTTTAAAGCAGCACCTGCTCCCTGGGTTGACAGAAAATTGGGGTTGCATTTTGCACTTTGCCATCAGCTACCAGGTGTAACCACTTAACCTCTCCTCTTCAGATCCTACATCTGAATAATGAACATGTTTTCCTTTGTGAAACTCCTCAAGCAAGGGTAGTTGCTAAACTTTGCATAAATGCTGAGTAAGATGATTTTCCTGGGCTGCTGTTCTAAAATAAATGTCTTTTTTTTTTCTTTTCCCTCTCTCCTGTAGACACTTCCTGCAGACATCAAAGAATCAATAACAGATATTATTAAATTTATGTTGCAAAGAGAATATGTGAAGGTATGTTTGTTTGTACTTTTCCTTTTGTCATGTTCATGCTGTCTGGGTGTAAAAGATTGAGTTTATTGCTTCAGCATTCCCATATTTTTTTAATTTTGAAGATGCATAGCTGGAAATACAACATCTATCCCAACAAAATGAAAAATGGCTGTGAAATGTTAGGCTCTAAGTAGTGTTTGATCCACAGCCTGACAGAAGAGCTTTTGAGGTTCATGAAACTGCACAGCTTTGTAAACATGAAGAAAATATTCCTCAGAGATGGGTATATTAAGCTGCAGAGGCATTCCTCAAGGGGAAACCTGATGTTCTAAGGTTAAATGAAGGTATTTAATAGTAATAGGGTGTTGATGATTAATTAATTAGGAATTAATTGAGGCAAACGGAGTTATTGGATGTGAGGCACTGTCCCTTTCTTTGTCTAAACTCACAGTAAGTGGCCTGGTAAAGCTGAGGTGAGTTAATGAGAAGATTTTTTGGATGAAGTCTGCTCACTGCAGGAGGCAGAAGTACTTTAGGACACAAGATCAAAGGCTGTATTAGGTTTTATTTGTAGCTGCCTTCAGAAATGAAACTTAAATACCAATAGCATTTGCTGAAGCAGCTTGTATATGCAGAGGAAACTGAGCTGTCTTTTGCCTTCAAATTTCTAGTATTTCTTACTATTCTTGTGAGGATTTGACATAATTTATCAAGTAAGCAAGCAAACCTTCTTTTGATGCTGAAAAAAACTTTGTATGGCCTAAGGCAAATTTAATCCAAATCATTTGGAAGCAGAACTGAACACGTGGGATGTATGATAGTGGGATTTTATTTTGAAGCATTTTTTTCTCTTGGTTGTCATCATTATGTGGAAATTCCCTTTCCAATACCTTCTCAAACTAATGAGCATGCAGGAATGTGCTGTATCTCTGGGTTAATCAGCAGTGCTTCTCTCTCCTGGAGGTGCTTGCTTTAAGTAAACTTCACAGAGATTTTGGATGACTTGAGTACACATTTGGATGTTTTGTTTTTGTTTTTTTTTACATTAGGCTAATGCTTTTACAGATACTCACATCCTTTTCAATTTTACTTTCTAGAAGACTTGCTTCTTTTTGTCTGCTTTGGTTTTCTGTCTCTTTTTGCCTGCTGCTTGCTTTGTGCACCCTGGTGAATACTGTCACCCACAAATTCCTGCTGCTTTGTTAGTCAAAAAGCTTGGAAGATTTTAATTTTGAAATCAATGTGTTAACAGCAGGCAAATGCCAGAATGCAAGTTGTCCACTCAGCCTTAATTAACCCTGTTGTGACAGTCCTTCAAGGGTCTTTAATTGCTTGTTCACACACTGTTTCATCACAAAAGTATATTTAAGTCACCAAGAGGGTATTTCACTAAGACTGTCCAGATTCTGCCTCATGCAGGTGATGACTAAACTCTGTCCTCTCCTCAGATTTGCTTTAGGTCTGTCTGCCACCCCTGCCTTGTTCATTATTCACCTCCCAGTCTGTTCAGTGCTAGCTGGAAAGAATCTGCAGCCACTGGTCATGATTGCTGCTTCTTATTGTCCAGTTTCTGAATAGGAGGTGATAAATGAACTCCTTATCAGTGAGTTTTGTAGCTGCTCTAATAGAGAAGGAATGTCCTGTTCCATGTCCTTCAGGTTTTTTCTGTAATTGTATCTGTCACTTGTTGGTTCTCAGTTGTTATGTTGGGTTTTTTTCAGCTCTATACTTCTCTTCCTTTCTGTCTTTCTTTCTATTAATTTTCCCTTTGAGTTTTATCCCTGTTTTTTCCCCAGGAATGTTGTCTGTGTACAGCTTTAAAACAGGATCTGTGCTTTTGATGGGGAAATTCCTGATTGATTTACTGCTGCCACTGCTCTGGGTTACAAATATAACCTTATTTAACCAGAGATGGTTGAGTTGAAAATAATCCCAGTAAACCTTAGTTTTGGTCAAGATAACCAGACTGCCTTATCCAGTTCTTTTTTTTTCATGAGGGACAGTGCACAGTCCTTGCTTCCCTCGGAGTTCCACATGGGAAGGTGCGTTGTGCAGTTGGTGACACCAGATCAGGGACACCAGATCAGGGACATTGGAATGGGGCTTTAAGTGCTGCTGGCAGTGCAGAAATGCTTGCTGTGGTGCTGTGGTGCTGAGTGGTGCCTTTCCCTGTGCAGGCCAACGATGCCTACCTGCAGATGGCCATTGGCAACGCCCCCTGGCCCATCGGCGTCACCATGGTCGGCATCCACGCGCGCACGGGCCGCGAGAAGATCTTCTCCAAGCACGTGGCCCACGTGCTCAACGATGAAACTCAGAGGAAATACATCCAGGTAATGGCAGCTTTGGAAATCCAACAGGTCTGCTTGTCTGGGGGGGTCTTTGAGAAACATCCATGTTGTGGTAACATCAGATGGTGTGGTATCAGGTCCCAGAAATGGACAGGTTTAGTTTGTGTCCAGCAGAACATCCAGTTAACAGCAGCTCATCCTGGACATGGAGGCTCCTCAGTGCTGGGCCAGGAACAGTCTCATGGGTTTTTCTGAACTGCTGTGATCCTGCATGGGCACCAAAGCAGCTGTGGAGACAGGCTTGATTCTCCTGAGGCCTCTCACTGCTTAACTCCTGCTTTAAACATGCACAGAACTTAATACTGTAAAATTCAGTCCTACTGACTGTTTCTGCAACTAATATGTAATAAACTAATATATACTATATACTAATAAATATACTATAAATACACTATAATAAATAATATATTATATACTAATATATACTATATACTAATAAATATACTATAAATATAGTATAAATAATATACTAGATACTAATATATACTATATAGTAATATATAATAAATGCATTCATTAAGAAGTTCAGGAATCTGGGCTCAAAATTCCAGGTTTAATTCCTCCTGGGCATCATCATACTCATGTGGGCTTCTGGTTGTGGAAGTAGTAGCAGTGCTGTTTTTCTACTCTGTCCTTTCCACACAGTGGATGGACAGGGCTGGGGAAACAAGTTTTCTCTCTTGGTATTGGTAAATGTGTTTGGCTCTTGCCAGTTGCAGTTTCATTGAGATAAAAAAACTTCTGGGTTAACTCTGGAACCTTCAGAGGAGCATCATGGAACTCAGAGCTCCTGGTAGGGGAGATATTTATAAATGTCTTCCTTCTTCAGCAGCAGAACTCCTGTTGCTTTTCAGCTTCTGCAGATGTCTGCAAGGAAATTGCTTGCAAAATGCAACTTTCCCTTCTGCTCTGAGTCTCTCTGTATTTGGGCTGTGAGCATAACCTTTGGTTTCTCTTCAACTCTAGTTTTTAATAGCATAACCTGAAAAAATATCAATGTGAAGTCACGGGGGCCTCCAGACACTTAACAGAGACAACAAATTAAATGTGACCAATTATTTTGTAAGGTGAAAATTGGCATGTGGATTATGCATCTTCAGAGTCAGCCTCCAATTATGCTTGGAAGTATTTAATGGATGAAATAGGAAGTATTTAATGGATGAAATAGTTTTAAACTAAATAATGTTGTTGTGGTCTGTGTCATAATGGTGAATAATTCATAGAATAATTCATAGAATCACAGAATGGATTGAAAGAGACTTTAAGAGACTGTCAAGTTCCAACTCCCCTGGCAGGGGAACCTTGCAGACCAGGCTGCTCAATAATTGGCTTTCTCTGTCCATTTGCCACTCCTGGGCAGACGGATCTCTGCTCTGGATCCTTGCTTGGTTCTCTCTTGGCATAACAGAACCTTGTGGGAGATGTGTGTGAATTCCCCAGTTTGTCCCTTCTCTGCTTTTGGGGCTTCCTCTGTTGGCCAAGGAAATCCTTGAGTTCATCTTCCCACTGGGAATTTCATACCTCTGCTTCTAAATTACCCAACTCACTGCAGCACCAAAACAGAGTTGGCTTTACACATGTATGTTCTTCGTGTTTAAAGATATTTGGGTCTTGTTTGGCAAGTTTGGTTCAAAGTGGACATGGGATATTTATTACCTGTGCTCCCAAGGGAACTTGTTCCTGATTGCAGCACTCTGGAGGGAGAACATCCCAAACAAGGAATCATTAAGGTGCTGGGACAGCCTTTCCATGCTTGCCTGCATGAGAGGGGCCACAGCACCATCCTGGGCAATCATTTTTCCCTGAGTGAGGAGCTGCCTTCCATGGGGAGAGTCTCATGACAGGGACATGACTCTGCCATCTTGGAGGCAGTGTCACTGCTGAATGACACCTCCACCACAGCATTGCCTTTCTTCTTTGTTAGACTTCTCTGTGTGACTTGAAAGAAAATAATCACAAGGTTCCTGTCATGTTGGTTTTTGGCAGTTGATGCTTTGGAAGAACTGCAAAGTCCACATTCTGCCTTTCCTCCTTGATAGCTTCAGTTTGCCTCTGTGATGTCCTGTGTCCACAGTTCTCCTCCTGAGAAGTGTTTGGGTCTTGTCTTGGTTCTGCAGCTTGTTTTGAAATTGCTTTTTGCTCTTTAGAATTAATTTTAATATTCAGCTTTCTTGTAAATATCTTTAATTATGATATCATTTGTTCCCTTGGTGATAAAGAGGGATTAAAGAATTGCTGTGACCCTTCACTGTGAATCTTACCAGGTGGGCTTGAAGCCTTTTTGATTATGCCACAAACTCCTCTAATATTGAAAAGAACCTCAAACTTTAAACAGAATAACTACCAAAATAAAAATCCCAGCCTTTTCTTTTTAATTCTTCTTGTTAAGCTTAATAATACTGTAGGCTGTTAAATTGTTCAACAGCTGCAGCCTTATGACAGAATTGTCCTTGTTTTGTTACTTCCCAGGGGCTGAAGAGGCTCATGACCATTTGCCAGAAGCACTTCCCAACAGACCCCTCCAAATGTGTGGAGTACAACGCTCTGTGAGGCTCTGCTGGGACTCATTTTGGGCTCCAGCACCCAGAGAGGATGAAGAGGCAAACTCTGAGCCTGAACACCAACAAGAACTTGGAGTGGGCTTTGCCAAAAAAGCAGAAAGGAGGATTTTATTTTTTTTTTTTTACAGCTTCCTTTTTCCAAGCCCCATTTATTTAGGTTTATTTTGAAATCTGTGCTTTTTGCTGAACACATCCAATGTACAGCAGAGGGATGGGTTTTGAAGATTTTAAGACCAAGACAATGACCAAGGGACAATGCACATGACAACTGCTTTTATTTCAGTTTGTTATTCAGGGAACTGTGCAAATTGAATTGTTTCCCATATTTTAGAGCTTTAGATGAGTCTCAGCCCTGCAAGGAGCATATGTGGAGCTTTTTTTGGCTGCTTTTCCATTGGAGACTGATGTGGGGAGATGATTAGAGGGAAGCAGTTGAATCTGAATCTTGGTTATTTCTGTAAATATAAAGACTTTATTGGTTAATCTTTCATGTGGTATTTATCAGGAATAAAAAAAAAAGGTTTATATATTTCTCAGCCTCAGTGCAAAGAGTTTTTGATCTTGAATGCATCTGATTTGCCTTTTTTCTTTTTGTGGCAACGACATTTTTAATATAAACCTTCTGGGCTTGGGGGAAGTAATCTTATGGCTCTTGAGGCTTTCAAATTCCATTTTTATACATCTGGAGAAAATTTTCAATCTGCTGGGCATTGCAGAGAAAATAATTAGGACCTCCCATGACCATGAACAGTATTTCTAGCAGCCACAAATCTTTACCATTGTGTATCCTGACTGGGGATGGTGAGGAAACTCATGGGAACGGTGATGTCTAATTCTGCATAAACAGTGAAATATTGAAACTTTGTTAGTTTTGAGCAGAAGAAATGTGTCCCTATTGCATGGAATGGGTTTGTCTGGGTCCTCACCTCAGCTGGGAGCAGAACTGGAGCCCTGTTCTCAAGGGTGACCTGTCTCCCTTGGGTGTTCCCGTGTCCTGTGGCACAGTGAGGGATGCTGGGGGGTGTGAGCTGGGAGGAGTATCTTGGACAAATTCAGGTTCTTCTGAACTCTTACATTCTGAAGTGCTTCTTTGGACACAGATTTTCAGTCTGAAGTGTTTGACCCCAGAGAAAATGTCAAGAGTTTGGAAGTAATAAAATGAGGCTGATGAGACCTGGCTTCTCTTGGGGGAAGGGCCTTTGGGGAGGAATTTGGGATTTGTGGGGAGCAGATGTCACGAGCATGGAAGAGTTTCATTAACATTTCTGGTGATTTTCTTTGAAGTGCTCTGTCCAGATACTCTTTGGGGGCGTTATTACAGTGGAAACATTTGTAACACTGCAACTTTATCCCTCTCCCCACCCAGACGGTTTCCTGAACTGTTTCTAAGTCTTTATCTTGACCTTAGTTTTGAACTCTGTAAATAATTTAGGGACAATATTGTCCCTTGTTCAGAAAAGCTGTAATTTCCCTGGAAGCTGCAGCAAGTGAGTGGCCAGGAGATGGTTTAAGGAGCATTGTATCATCTGCTTTAAGGGAAGCAGATTCCTCAAGGGGATCTGTAATAGTGCTGGATGGATTTTTCCTTCCTGCCTTGGAGCTAATTATTGAGAATTTTAATGGTACCCTGAGTGCTGGTTTGAGTGGGGATGTGCCTCCTGTAGGGATGTGAATTTGGGGCTGGAATGTCTTGGTCTGATCAGGTTTGAAGGAATGCAGCTGAAGCAATGTTGCTCCTTGCTGACAGTCCCTGAAATACAGCTTGAGTGAATCCCATGATGGAAGAGCTTTATCCCCTTGCAATCCCTGGAATGGTGCTGTGTGGGGAACTGAGGAGCTGGGAACTGCTTTCTCACGGCATATCAGGGTAAGAATTTCCAGCTGTCCAGCACGTGAGAGCCAGCTCTGGTCCTCAGGGGCCAGGGGGACACTGTTACAGCAGCTGCTTTTCATCATGGCTTGGAGGCTCCTTGCAGCTGGATGGCCCCAAATTGCAGCTACCAGACCGTGATCAAATAGTTAATAATGCCTCTTAGCCAAAAAATCCCAACCCTCAGTCTAGTCCAGGGAGGGGTGGGTGTGGTGCAGCTGTCACACTGCTTGACAGTTTGGGGTTTTTTTTATTTTGTGGGGAGGGTATGTTTCAGTTTAGCAATTTACTTTTCCCTCTAGGCTTTTCCAGATGTTTATTTCTGATAATTCCTGCATTAGGCGGAAATAACTCTGCTCAATCCTAGGACTGCAGCTGAAGTCATGAGTTCACCATGGTGGGGTCTGGAGTGGTTTTGGGACTTCAGTTTTGGGACTTCAGTGCCCCTGGGCATTTGCTGCAGTCCCTGAGCCTTCCCCAAGCCTGGCTTGGAAGGGCCTGTGCAAGGTGAGCTCCAAAACCATTGGTACGTGCCTGGTACTGGTGTTATTGTGCCAAATGAAGACAGAATGGGCGATCACAGAGTGACACAACCCCTTACCTGGAGCCCCTTACACCCAGGATGCTGCAGAAAACCACATTGCTTGGATTTTATTATGGCATTTAGGTGGGAAAGGAGACAAAAAGCCCAAAGGTGAGTTTTCCCAAGCTGTGAGACCATTCACCCAGGGAATTTCCTAAGATTATTGAGTGGTAGGGGGTTTGTTTCTGACAGAGCAGAACAGAAGCTGCTGTGATGTCAAATGGCCAAAGCATTTGCTTGGGTATTTCTTTTCTCTATGAAGCACCTCATGATGATTTTGTTGTGGAATTTTTATTTTTATTGGATAAATGACCCTTTTTCTTGTAACTTCTTTTTGTCCTCCATGGGTATGCAATCAGATTATTATAATTTTTTAACAGTTACAAAATTCAAGCACTTGAACTCATTTGTTATTCTATTATATTATTTTTAACATCTTTTTTTGTTGTTGTTGTTTGAAGCTGAGCAATGCCTTAAATTGCCTATTTGCTGTTTGTGCTGCTGGGATGGTTGTTGGGGTAGGTGTGTGGGATCAGTTTAATGGAGGAACAGGAGGTGCTGGATGGGGGAGAGGCTCCATGGACAGTGGAAATAAATGGAAGGAGCAGGAAGCACTGGGAAGGTGTGGGAGCCCCATGTGAGACTCTGTGGCTGCTGGAAGCTGCCTGTGCTTTTGAGGGGTGCTGGGGACACCAGTGATGTCAGTGTTGTCCCCAACCCTGTGCAGGGGTCGCTGCTGCCCTACTGAGCCAGCAGGGAAGTCACTGGCTCCCTTGGGAAGTCACTTCCTTGGAGCAGGGGGAATGTGCTGGTGCTGCATTGTCCCACAGCTGCTGGCATTGCTGAAACAGCCTTGCAGCAGCTTGGCATCCAATCCATGTGAGTGAGCATTCATTTTAGTTATTTCAGGTTGTTTTTTGGAAGTAAATATTATTTGTGACTTTGCTTCCCACAGTGGTGGGACATCAGTCACACTCCCTGCCCTCCTGGGCCCAGTGCTTGGGAGAACACGGCATGGAGGCAGCAGGGATCTGCTGGGTGCTGAATCCTGAGGGATCTCTAAATGAGATTTTTTGGGGCTTTTTGGGGGAATGCCAGTGTTTCCTGCAGTCAGCCAAGGAGCAGGTCCCTCAGGGACACCCTGGCCAGCTGTGCACACATCTGGAGCAGCATCTCTAGCAGGGGGGAGGATTGCCTGGGCTCTGCCCTCCCAAAGAGACCATGGCAAGGTTTCATTTTGAAAATGCTTTAATAAGGAAGTGTTGACAACACCGTTTTGCAAAATGTAAAGGTAACTATACAAATTCTTAATACAAAAAGAATAAATTAAAAGCAGATTTTTTTTAATTCTGCAACTTTTTCTACAACATACATATTTTTTTTCCTTGATTACAGTTGAACAGAATCCAGTAAAATCATTTTCCATGCTCTAAAGTCAATTTCAGGAGAGACCTAATTTTTTTCTTTTTTTTTTTCCCTTTTTTTAAACTAGAGAGTCCATTTTACACAACTTGTAATAAAACTATTGACATTAATATATATGTAAAACTTTACATCTAGTTAACTAAGCAGTAACTGGTCATCTGATAGCACCTGAATGGGGATTGGCTATGCCTGAAACTAAAACTAATACAGAGTGAAAACAAATTGGACTGATTCAACATTTTCAACACTCGACTGCATATAATATCATTTAAAAATAAACCCTGCCTCCCAGCACAGCCCCTGCAGGGGCTGTCCCCTGGCTCCTGCCCACACAGAGGGAGTGTCAGACACAGAGACTGAACGTGGTTGTGGCTTTATGGCAGATGGAGCCTTGGAAAATAAAAAAGTAAAGGAGGGGTTAAGTTGGTAGTCAAGTGCTTGTCTATAATAGCTATGTATATGCCCCTCCGTGTTATACTTAAATATGTTAATCTCATATGATTAACATTTTATGTACATTTGTGTTTAATTGAATTGAGCTAAACAGTAAAACCTGTTTTACTTAATCTGTCTTTACTACCAGACTGGCTGCTCACATGTGCCTTGATTGCAAACCAGAAAAGCAGAACACAAAGCAAAACTCAATCCGTTTCTAGAAAGCTTCTTCTTCCACTCCAGCCTGTTTGCAATTCAGGCTAAATATTTTTATTCCCCCCCCCGCCTAATTTCAGGGCTGCCACCTTTTAACCTTTGCTGCAAAACTGCAGAGCTGGTCTTGGAGGAATTAATGTTTCTTCCTGTAGTGCCCAGAGGCCTCATAGTGCCGCTGTTGTTGAATTCTTTTTAATTAAAAGAAGGTACACAGAAAAAAAACCAAACCCAAACCACTTACCAGGGAAATTAAAAAGAAAACAGACAGTTGCTCAGAGCCCCTAAAAATCCTTGGGCTAAATTATTTGCTGTAGCTTAATTTGGTCCTTATTTAATCCTTTTACTTCAGCTACCAAATTTTATCAGTAAATGTTATTAATCAGTACTATCTCTTATCCAGCTGAAAATCCAATTAGGAGCTTGAAATAATTCCCATGTTAAAGACCCCAAAGCACAAAGAGATGGTGAAAGGAGCATTTTGCTTGTCCAGATAAAGGCTGCAATCTCACCACTGGCTGTTCTTCCAGAACTTCAATTACTGTCACGGTGCACTGCACTCCTGGCTGATGCTTCAGGGAGGCCCAGAAGCACAAGGTTTGTGTGGCCACCTTTGTAAACCCTTTGCCAGCATTTTTGTGGGTTTTTCTCAGAGGGTAATTCATTTATGCTTCATGTGTGAACATGAAAGAGTTTCCTTACAATGGCATTATGGAAAGGTTTGTGTTGGAAGTGACATCATTCCGTTCCAACCCCTGCCATGGCACAGGGACACCTTCCCCTGGACCAGGTTGCTCAGAGCCCCATCCAGTCCTGGCTCTTCCACAGGTTTCCCTGGACAAATAACAGCCTTTATATGTATAATAATTATTATAACTGCCTGTCCTGCCTCATCTCTGCAAGGCCTTCTCCCCACCTCACCAGGGATGCACAGCAGCAGTGCAGGGAACCAAAGCCAACACTTCTGGTGTGAGTTGCAGAAAAGGAATTGGCATGAGCTGCTTGCATTAATGTTTAGAAACCCC